TATAAAGATAACGCAAAATGACGTCAAAATAGCCACCAGGAAAAGTTAACTCTTTCCTGGATAGGTATGTTTAGTGGGACAAGACTGCCCTCTATAGACCAAATACCTAATTTGCGATCTGGAAGATAACCACACCTCTAGTACTTCTATTGGGTTATCAACTGATGACGTACAGAGAGTCTGGCCCTTTAAAAGTTAAGACAAAGGGAAGACAAGGTATGCAAAGGAGAAAGAAAAAGAGGAGAGAGGAATTGGAAGTTTGGGGACTCCAACTCGGACAACATCTGAGACTAACACTCTACTCCTAAAACTCTAACACTTAGAATTTTACTGACTTTCTAACCAACACCACCTTTCACCATAACTCATGCATCTACGGACATCCAAATAAGTTCCTGAGACTATCTACCAATCGGATGAAATATCTACTCAACTGGTAATTATACTGGTTTCATTTAATTAATTAAAGTAATTAAAATGTACTAATAGCATGATATGACTGGATAAATCACGGTCAGATTTCCATATTAAGAAATCTTAGTTAACTAAAGAATATATAGTTATAAACATTCCATTCTGCAGGTGGAATTAAGAATAATTATATATTGATGTGATATTATCACGTGTTAGCATACCGCTGTTTTTATCCAGGTGTATTGATTTGTTCTAATTTAAGATAAGATATCTTTTAGACAAATTAAATTCTGCTTATATAATCATGGTAGATTCTCTTATTGGATGGTTCCAGGAAATGACTAATGAACTGGTTTAAATGTTATTTTATTTAGAAATTACATAATAATAGATCTTAACTATCTAGGAGATCTAGCCAGCATTGAAAGTGTCAGAGTATTTATATCGGCAGACATCTTGTGCTATGATAGAAATTAAAAGTGTATATTCTGAGTCACTCTGAACAGACCAGACTCCATTTTGTTATTTTCAAGCTAACAAAAAGACACAAGATTTCTATCTGTAAAACTAACCACTTGGCCAGAGCTAAAGGAATGCATAGTATAAACATACCCAGTGATAAGAAAGAGGGTTGGACAGACTGTCTAATGCTAATGGAATATAATCAAATCTAAACCCAGACAATTGTGACAGAGAAGATTAAATAATAAAATTTAACTGTCTATATATATATAAGGTACCATTGTATGGAAAAGGGTAAACTTAGTTCATGATCTGCCATATCAGAAAAAAACTCAGATTTGCAGACACATAGTCTGGACAAAACTTAAAGAAACAGTTTTTTATCTGACAGCAATCTAAGTTATAGCAAAGATAGAGATAGGCCAAAATGACGTCAAAATAGCCACCAGGAAAAGTTAACTCTTTCCTGGATAGGTATGTTTAGTGGGACAAGACTGCCCTCTATAGACCAAATAACTAAATTGCGATCTGGAAGATAACCACACCTCTAGTACTTCTATTGGGTCATCAACTGATGACGTACAGAGAGTCTGGCCCTTTAAAAGTTAGGACAAAGGGAAGACAGGGATAATGCAAAGGAGAAGGAAAAAGAGAGAGGAGGAGTTGGAAGTTTGGGGACTCCAACTCGGACAACATCTGAGACTAACACTCTACTCTTAAAACTCTAACACTTAGAATTTTACTGACTTCCTAACCAACACCACCTTTCACCATAACTCCATGCACCTACAGACATCCAAATAAGTTCCTGAGACTATCTGCCAATCGGATGAAATATCTACTCAACTGGTAATTATACTGGTTTCATTTAATTAATTAAATTAATTAAAATGTATTAATAGCATTATATATGACTGGATAAAGCACGGTCAGATTTCCATATTAAGAAATCTTAGTTAACTACAGAATATATAGTTATAATCATTCCATTCTGCAGGTGGAATTAAGAATAATTATATATTAATGTGATATTATCACGTGTTAGCATACCGTTGTTTTTATCCAGGTGTATTGATTTGCTCTAAATTAAGATAAGATATCTTTTAGACAAATTAAAATTAAACTCTGCTTATATAATGTGGTAGATTCTCTTATTGGATGGTTCTGGGAAATGACTAATGAACTGGGTTAAATGTTATTTTATTTAAAATTACATAAGAATAGATCTTAATTACCTAGGAGATCTAGCCAGCATTGAAAGGGTTATTCTAACTGTCAGCTAAACTTTACGACCTTACGCTGCACTCTGAGGAATTCTGTTCTTCGCTGTGAAAAGTTTCACTTTCAGTCTGTGTTAAAGATAGTCATAAATAAAGTCTTGACAGGAAATGCTGTTTTAGCCATTGAAATCTGTATAGCCATTTCTTTGTATTGCATATCATTTTATACTGGATATTCATTGATTATTGTCATGCATGTTGCATAATATTATTATTAATTAATTTGTCATTATAAATAAAAATCTATTTTTATACATTGTGATATTATTATATGAAATACTTCTCACTTAACACGATAAACGTTCTTTGGGATCTGAGAATTGAATTAGTGGGCAATTCTCACTGTTACTATTATTATCCCATAAATATCCCCACAAAAGGGTTATTCTAACTGTTAGCCAGGGTTTTATGGTCCTTCGCTGTGAAAAGTTTTCCTTTCAGCCTGTGTGAAAGATAGTCATAAATCGTTAGAAGACTTGACAGGAAATGCTGTTTAGCCATTGAAATGTGTTTAGCCATTCCTTTGTATTGCATACCAATTTATACTGGATATTCATTGATTATTGTCATGCATGTTGCATATTATTATTATTAATTAATTTGTTATTATAAATAAAATCTATTTTTATAACATTGTGATATTATTTATATGGTATACATTTCACTTAACACGATAACGATATTTGGGATCTGAGAATTGAATTAGTGGGCAATTCTCAACTGTTTACTATTATTATCCCATAAATATCCCCACATTACCACGGATATATCGTCAAAAGTATAAGACCTGTTTTAGATTATATCCTGCGAGGCAATGAGGAGGGAAGCTAGATTAACATCTTTCCCTTCTAGTATGTCCCGTTTTAGATTTTGTGGAATCAAATGCACTGAGTTAATGATATTAGTTGTTTTGGCAGGAATAGGAGTGGAGTTACCTCCTGAGCTTGTTTCGGGTTGTCCTAGTGGAACTTGTACTTCCGGAATGCTAGTTTGACTAGTGGCTTCCAGGTTATCTAACCTGTTGTTTATAGTAGCTACTGAAGCCACCAGAGAGGTCATCATACTTCGTAATTCTGCCCAACTATTTTGAATTGTACAATCAGAACTAGGCCCGGTAACTCATCAACGTTTTGGGAGTTTAACAAATGGAAGAGTTCGGCTTTCCTGGCAGTAGCCGGAAAGGGAATGTTTCTTCTATTTAGTTCGGCTGTGATTTTTGGAACCGTCCAGGATCTGTAGCTGGATATCGTACTGGACTGTCTTGGCTGAGTGCCAGGTCTGGAGGGAGTGCTGGCAAGTGATAGCTCTTTTTCTCGAACTGAATCGTTAGACATGCTATGGGCGTGAGAGGAGATGTTTTGTTAGAATTTTTTTTTTTTTTTTTTTGCGTGAGTGTGAGTGTGTGTGTGTGCTGGCTGACTAGCTAGTGCCGCTCCACGGAGAAGCAATTACACTAGGTTGGTGACTGGTGAGGCCCTATTAAGTGCCAAGCGGCTTGAGAGGCTCTATCTATGAGTTGGCGCAAGGGGATTTTGTGGCCACCGAACGTTGTGGCGGGGTGTTGGCCTCTCGGTGAGTAGTAATCATAAGATAGAATGGGGGTGACAGGTGAGGCCCTTTCTATGCCACGTGCGAGGCGGCTACCTATGATTTGGCCGGAGGGGCGTAGTACCTCCGAATTGAGGATGGGTGTTGGCCTCGCGAGACCACTAACTTAAGGCAAGAGAGCCAGGATGAGATTTAACACTATTGGGCTCCTAAGACCTTAACAGCCAGCCACCTAAACTGCGAGGGACGATACGTTCGGAAATGAAACAAAATAAACCAATGAAATCAATTTTAAATTGTTCATTATCCTTACCTGTATGTGAACTTGAAACACATACTTGAGATGCACTAAAGAGTTACTTGCGAAGATGTTTGGCCGGGCGGTTTTTACCCAAGCTGAAGCCCCTATTTGCGAAAGATGGAAGGAGTAATAGAGTGAAATAAACGGAAAATCGGTAGCAGATTTTTTTTTTTATATATATAGGAATTTTACTAAGCGGACCGTAAACGTGTAATTCTGCGTAATTGGTAGAACTGAATGTCGAAATAAATTCCTAGAAAGGAAAGAAGGAAATTAATTTAAATGAACAGTGTACGTGATACGAATTCCTAGTAAGGTGAGTGACTGAGTAATCGTATGACCAAATTAACAAGCACCCGAACCGTGAACTGAGTTATGCCAGGGTACCATCTTTCCCTGATGTGGTACGAGTGTTAGCCACTGCATCGTATTATTCTTTTGGACTAATTTAGTATTTGGCCTATGTTCGGATATACAGCAAGTTTGTATGCGGTCGGATCAATTAACAGTTTTACCTATAATGCTAATTGTTTATTGAATACCAATAAAACATCTACATAATATTTCCGATGAATGTAAAATACGATACACAGGGGGCGGGGCCATGCAGCCAAGCAGCCCAGACGTGTTTGGAGAGAGCTCCCATGTCTGGGGACAGAATACTGGGAATTAAACCCACCAATTTTTACCCAACAGCTGCAGACCAAGAGATCCACAACCGGGAGGGGCTGCTGCACAGAACGGTACCTCTCCCAAGCACTGGACTAGCAGACCAAACATATCGAGGCCTGCGGCCTACTCGCTACCGAGCCACGAGGAGACGGCCGCTCCACGGGCACGAGAGCAGGGAACGAACTCCCGGGGAAAAGTCTCCCGCCTCCCCCCCCAGGACCGGTGGGGGTCATCCCGGTCCACACACTAGAGCGGATAATACTTAACCAAGCGCTGCACTTAGGCGCGCGGAGGACAAGAGAGAGCCACGAGGCCCGATCAAAATGGCTGACGGCATCATCACCTACACACAGCTACAGACCCCCAGCGACTGGGAGGCTGCCTCTAATGCAAGGTTCGAAGCCATGTGGGAGCAGTTCTGGGCTAAGCTAGCACATAAACACCGGCTGCCTCAGCCACTAAATCTCGGGAAGAAACCCAGAACACCCACGGCAAGACAACTAGCCAGGGCCGTGCACCCTGAGCAGCCCTCGACCGGGACAAGTATACCGGCTACACGCCAGCAACAAGCCATCGCACCCGAGAGGCATGCACCCACTGTTGCCCATCGGAGCCCGGACAAGCATAGAGGTGTCGGCAAAACCCCCGTGAGAAGGAAAAGCGGGAGGAGCAGACCCCAACAAGCCCGGTGCATTGGCACCCAAAGGTGGACGGGTCTACGCGGCTCGCAATACCGAGCACACCTACGAGAATACGTACCGCAGTCCGCTCAACAAGACCAGGGACATGCACGCAGACAAGCCGGGAGGCCAGCTCAAGCGGCTGCTCGCAGCTGGGACTGTACAGCCGCAAGACAGGAGACAGCTATTGCACGGAATGCCTCTGAATGCTCCCAGACCTATGCTGTAAGCCTGCCGACCTCTGGTATAGGGTGAATGTAACAAGCTGGCATACTGATATTATGCCTACTGTCCCTGATTATCCATTAGGGGTTCGATTGTCTTCTGTCTTGCTGTCCCCTTTCCCCCTTTTAGTCCCCATAGCATAGTTATCACCAACGAAGTTATATTTGCTTTGTATCAGAGGAAAGTTAATACCTACCGATGCATGCTACTACAATCACTTACGTTCACTTAAGAGACACTGTTTTGATTAGTCTAGCATACTCTAACAGCTGCCCTGCTGAAGTATCAACGATAGCCTAGCATGTTACTTTCCTTATTAGCCTAGCTAGCTACTAGCCTAGTTACTAGCCTAGCATGTTTTTGCAAACACAAATATGTCTCCCTATCGATGAGAATACTCACCTGCATAACCCTGTGTACATATTTTCTTTATGTGATCCACATATTACTAGCATGTTACCTCTACTAATATAATCGGTGTAAATCTTCTTAACCAAGCTTGTCTAAAATATAAAACTGTGCTTGTTACTTCTATGCCCCGCATGTTAAGCGAGGAAATGCCTGAGGATTGCTTTTGGGGCACCTCAGAACCACATGTACCATTCTTATGCACTGAAAAAATAAAGAATAAAAAAAATAAAAAATAAAAATAATAAAAATACGATACACGTGAACAGGTTTGAACAGTTGCACAGATTAATAAATGTATAGTTGCGTGGTATATGAGGTTGAATTTGTGGTAACTTGTAATTAAGTATTTTTTTCCCTAGATGGCAATGTAAGGCTGATTAGATGCTTTTACCGGACACTTTTTTTTTTTTTTTAAAGTGAACTTTGTATCTATATGTGTGTTTCCTTGCATGATTTGCAGATACGATCAGACTGATACAGTTACAGTTACTGTTAGAATGCGGTTTATAGCTGATATTAATTGATCCAATAAAGTGAAGCTTTTGGGTATACTATGAATTGTTACAATATGGGTATATTCCTAGTCTATGACTTAATTAAGCTATTTGCAGCCTGATGCTGCTAGT